TCAGGGTCTATGATGGGATGGGTAACTCTGATGAACTCAGAAATGCCTTTGGGGTCATTCTTCCACTGCCTTGGAGAATAGGTCCTGGATTCTGTTTATAGATGGCAAACCAATCTTTCTCTTAATCACACTTGGCCTTCGCTGAGATTGGTCCATACTAATCACATAACCAAAGAGTTACTTGGCCAGACCCTTTCCTCCAGAACAAGGTTTCAAAATGGATAGGTCGAGTTTTCCAAATTTTTGAGTTCTGCTTCCCTTTTGATCATCAGTTCTAAATTATCTTTCTTCCCTCATTTTACTATAAACAATTCAAAGGAACCAGGCTGCCCCTTCAACACTGTGTTCAGAAATAGCTCCAGCTAAAGATTCAGTCACTCACAGAGCGACCTGCCACAAAACACTAGAACACAAACACAATTCAGGGAAGTTCTCTGCTGCTTCATAACAAAGACGGCCTTTCTTTCTTTCTTTCTTTTTTTTTTTTTTTTTTTGAGGTGGAGTTTTGCTCGTTACCCAGGCTGGAGTGCAACGGCATGATCTCGGCTCACCGCAACCTCCGCCTCCTGGGTTTAGGCAATTCTCCTGCCTCAGCCTCCTGAGTAGCTGGGATTACAGGCACGCGCCACCATGCCCAGCTAATTTTTTGTATTTTTAGTAGAGACAGGGTTTCACCATGTTGACCAGGATGGTCTCGATCTCCTGACCTCGTGATCCACCCGCTTCGGCCTCCCAAAGTGCTGGGATTACAGGCGTGAGCCACCGCGCCCAGCCACAAAGATGGCCTTTCTTAGTGTTTCCAATGATAGGTTCTTCGCTTCTGACAGTTCTCGGTATCTGTGAGTCTTCCCAAATTTTGGTGCGGTGATTTGGTCTATGAGCTTACTTCTCTGAAGGATCTTCAAAAAGTTGTTTTTTCTGTTTGTTTAGCTTTTCCCTTGTTGTTAGGATGACGTGATGAATTCTGAGCACCCTACATACCAGGCCAGAAACGGAAATTCCTGTTGGAAGACTTTTGATGACTGAGTCAGTCTTTTGTTATGTGCCTATTACTTATTTCAAGTCAGTTTTGGGAGCTGGTGTGATTCTAGTTTATTTGCCATTTCATCAAGTGTACGTATGTTTTTTAGCATTGTTATATTTTCTCATAATACTTTTTCTCTCTGTAAGGTCATTATTGTCTCCACTCTCATTCCTGATTTAGTAATTTGATCGTCAGTTTTTCTTGAACAGTCTAGATAAAAGTTTGCCATTGGCTGTTTATCCTTTTAAGGAAACAACTTGTGGGTTTGTCCGTTTTCTCTCCTGACTTTCTATTCATTTATATCCACTCAAATCTTTACTAGTTCCTACCCTCTGCTTGCTTTGAGTTTAGATGATCCAATGTCGTTGCTATGTAACTGTTCATTGTACTCTTGTACTCCTTAATATTTCTGTAAAATCAGTAGTAATGTCACAATTTCATTTTTTATTTTAGTAACTTTTTTTCTTGGTCTGTCTAAAAGGTTTGTCATTTTTACTTATCTTTTCAAAGAAATAACTTGTGGTTTTGTCGATTTTTGACATTTCCCCCCATTCCCTATTTTATTTATCGCTGTTGTAATGTTGACCATTTCCTTCTGACTGTTTGCTTTGGGCTTAGTTTCTCTTTTTCTAGATTTTAAGGTTGGGAGGGTAGGTTATTGATTTCAGATCTCTCTTCCTTTTGTATTGTATCTTTTTTGACTCATTATTAGGAAGTATGTTGTTTTTTTTCCCACGTATTTGTAAATTTTCCAAATTTCATTATTTCTGACTTTATTTCACTGTCTCGGAGAATATAACTTGTATTATTCCAATCTTCTTACATTTATTGAGACTTCTTTTGTGCCTTAAAATGGGTTCTAGACTGGAGAATGTTACATACGCAGTTAGTCTGTATTGTTTGGAATGTTCTGTAGATGTCTATTACGTCTAGTTGTTTATAGTCCTGTTCAAGTATTGTTTCCTTTCTGATCTTGTCTCATTTTTCTAGCTATTATTAAAAGTGGGGTACTGAAATTCCCACCCACCATTGTTGAGCTATTTCTCCCTTTAATTTTGGCAAGTTTTGCTTCATATATTTTGGGGTTCCTGGTTGGTGCATATATATTCACGGTTGTTGTATCTTCCTGGTAAACTGACTCTCATCATTGTATGATGTCCTTCTTTGCCTTGCGTAACAATTTTTGCCTTAAAGTTTATTTGATCCAACATTAGTGTAGCCACCTTTGCTCTCCTTTGGGATATCTTTTTCCAACCTTTACTCGTTTGTGTCTTTGAATCTAAAACGAGACACCTCTAAACACATAGTTGGATCATGGTGTGCTAAATCAATGCCGTGTGTTAAGAAAATCTATCAAAGCTCCAAGTGTCTATTGTATACTTCCATTTATAAGTACAGAAACAGGCAAAAGTGGCCTGCATTGATGGAGTCAGGGAGTTAGCTCTGGGAGAAGTGGGTGCAGAAAACATCAGAACTTCTGGAGGCTCTCCTCATTCGCCTCTCCTCTGAATGCTGGCTACGTGGTGTGACAGTATTCAGTTTGCAAAGATCCAGTCAGCCAGTGGACACTTTTATTTGTATATGTATGTGTGCTATACTTCACAAAAACTTTGAAGAAACAAACCTGATGTGGGATGTCTGTTCTCCTGGGAGATTCTGTGGGAAGAAGGCAGCCCAGTGACTCACCAGGAGTAGCAGATACCCTATTAACTTGTGCTGATGAAGGATAAATAATCCCCCAAAAGTATACCTGGGGGCAGGGGTGGGGGTAGGGAACTTTGGAGTTACTAGTTACATAGCTGTGTTCACTGTGTGCAAATTTGGCCTGTATATTAGGATGTGCACAGTTTCCTGGATGCAAATGACACTCTGCTAATAAGATGACTTAAAACTATATTCCCCACGGGACAAAGACCTAGATCAATGACCTTGTATCCAAGCACTGGTGACGATGAGGACAGTAAGAACCATATTAGCACCAATCATCAATTGAGTACCTGCTGCATGCTGGTACCAAGGGCTTGGTGAAGCTTTACAACCACCTATAGAAGAGGCACTATTGTCCCCAGATAGGGAAGCTGAGGCTCAGAGAGCTAAGGCAGCCAGCCACCAAATGGTGGTGATTCAATCATCAGCCCAGCTCTCAAGCCCATGCTGCTATTTCCAGCTCTAGTAACCTGCCAGGAAATAGGGGTAAAACTACTGCAGGGAGACAGAAAGATACAGAGGAAATGGAGACCACCCTGTCCCAGAGGGAAGACTGAGTAGAAGGCCTTTCAGCATGGACTGTCCCCTTCTGCAAGCTCTTAAGACCCTACCCTAAGAACAAAAAATAAAACAAAAAAAAACAAAAACAAAAAGAAAACAATTCAATTAAAAATGAGCAAAGATCTGAACAGGCATCTTGCCAAAGGCATACAGATGGTAAATAAACATATGAAAAGATGCTCAACATAATATGTCATTAGGGAATTGCAAATTAGAATAACAATGAGATACCACTACACACCTATTATAATGGCTGAAGTCCAAAACACAGGCAACACCAAATGCTGAAGTGGCTGAAGAGCAATAGAATTCTCATTCGTTGTTGTTGGGAATACAAAATGGTACAGCCACATTGGAAGGCAGTTTGGCAGTTAAAAAAAAAAAAAAGACCCTACCCACTCAGGAGGCTGTCACTCCATTCTTGAAACTGAAGACTGTGTTCACGGACCCAGAAGATGAGGGTAGGAGGTAAGAGCAGACTTGGTGTCTGGATGCCCATGTCAATCAAATACACCACCAGGCAGAAAAGTGAGCCAGGCCACACTGGGCCATGCACAAGTGTGGGAGTGGAAGGCACAGACACTGTCCCTGGAAAGGGGTCTGCCCAGCAGGGCCCTGACACCTTACCACCTCCCTCCTCAAGGGTCTTCTAGATGAGTTGAGGGCTTTCTTTTCAAACTTTTCCAGGAGTTGGACAACTGCCTCTTTTACTGTATGAGAAAGAACAGTTTAAACAGAAAACACATCCTAACAGCTGCTACTAAAGCAGAATAGTATCATTAAAGGCTGGAGGTTCTGCAGTGACAGTGAAACTAGAAAAGATGGCATGGCAGTGGGACTCGACAGATGGCGGGGTCCTGGCGAAGTGAGACCCTAGCCTCAGATGGCTTTCCAGAGGGAAGCCCTACATGATGAAGCCACACAGGCCTGACTGCGGCTATCAGATGAGGGGGTGGCAGGAGCATGTCCTGGTACTTACTGTCCTCCTGACTAGACACTGTCCCACTTTTCTCACACCCACAAGCAATCATATGAATGGGCCCAGTGTATATCTGGACATATTCCTACAGAAAAATGTGACTCCTGGGTTCAGAAAGCAAGAGTTTGGACAGCAAAGGATTCTATGTCATCTGAATCCCTACCTCCTTATCAGGATAGCACAGGCTAATCCTAGTTTTAGTCTAGGTATACACAGTGTGTTCTTATCACCACGCTGCTGGGTCTTCACACCTGATGCTGCAGGGGGTCCTAGGGGAGCCTCCTCAGAAGACCTTTAAGGAAGACAGAGGTGTAAGGTGTCAGGGCTCTGGGGGACAGGCCCCTTTCCCTTTCCAGAGGGACACTGTCTGTGCCCTCCACTTCCACACATGTGTGTGGCCCAGTGTGGCCTGGCTCATTTCTGCCTAGTGGTGTATTTGATTGGCAAAGGCACCCAGACACTCAGTCTACCCTTTTCCTACCCTCATCTTCTGGGTCCTTGAACATACTCCTCAGTTTCAGGGATAGAGTGACAGTCTTCCCACATATACATGACTCCTCCCCCCACTCTCCTGAAGGTGGACCCCAGGCTGTTTCCAGCTCCCACCACCAGAGTTACCTATAGACTGGCTTTGTTGTTGTTGTTTGTTTGAGGCAGTGGAATTATTGTGCCTTGCTTAAACCACAGTTATCTGGAGCAGGGAGTCAGAACAACCACAGAGAACAAACATGTGCTTTGTCTTTTTATTATTCTTTATTGGTCCTACCAATGTGACTCTTTACCCAGGCCCACTGTTCCTATGCGCACTGGCTTTGCCGCATAGGAATATGTCATATGTCTGTGTCCTGAAAATCTCAATTAATTTCCCCTTCCTATTCTTTTCCATGCTCTGCCTCATTTTCTCAGAAACTGAAGGCATTTGATTATTACTATTTTTTTGTTTGGGTCTGTGTAAAGGTTCCTTGGCAGGAGAACATGCATATGACTTTAAAATAAAGACCAACATTCTGACACTAAGGTAATGCACAGAAAAAATACAGTACTCAGACATCATTGCAAATAAATACCCCATACAGATGAAGTTATCTCAAATGTAACAATATTTCTTATGAATCAACACTGTAACGGAAGGTAAAAATAGGAGTCCCTACAACTAGGAATAAGAAATGCTTATTCCAGGAAACAGAATTCTTTTATTTTTCTCATTTATATTATTATAATTTTTCCTTTTTTGGAGAAGGAAGGACAGTTTTTCTTCCTCCAAGAGTACCAATTTGACCACTCCCACGAACCTCACTCAGCAAACAAAACAGGATGTAGACCTGGTTTGCTAAGGAGTTTTAATGAGTTCTGTTTCCTGAAATTAACAGTGATTAGTTACACCAAGCAAGAGACGATATAATGTCTCGCTTTCACATTTGTAAAGAATACTATGGCTAACCCTCATCCCCTACTGCACATGCCAACAGAGCGTCGGCCCTCCTGACACCTTCAGCTCTTCACAAACGTGGCGTTCATACAGCTTGCTCAGCTTGTCCCAAAAGGTCCATTTGGTTCCCAAAGCACACTCAAGGTTTTGTGTTTGCTTTCATTTTCTAAGCCCCTGAATTTGCAAGTAAAGAATCACTGACTAACAGAATTTTGCACAATGACTGTGTTCTTTCCCTCAATGAAGATGCCCAGGTCTGGGTGTGAGGAGCGCCTGCCTCACCTGCTGTCCACGCTGGCCTTCAGCATGCCCATTAGCTCCTCCCTGCTCACTTTCGAGAATGATCTGCACTGGGACACCTCCCTTAACTGATGAAGGCACTACTGGTAATGATTACTAACAAAAAGGTGTTGAAAGAGAACACCCTAAAAATCGACAACTGTAGAATTTTCTAAGTGTACCACAATTTGGCACAACAACCAGAGTAACAAAACAATTCCAATTTGGAATTTTATTGGTACAGTTGTATAAAATTCTGTTAATCAGTCATGCTTCACAATGTCCTAAAACCCAGAAAATTCTGGAATTTGTAGGTAATACTACTCATTCAATAATTTATCTTTTTTTTTTTTCAAGTGCCTATTACTGTTTTAACCAGAGCAAAGGTCAAGTTTTCTTCTTGTTACATTGAACTATTCCTAAGAATAATAATAATACAATATGAAAAACCCCAGAATCTGAATACCCTGGATTTCTTAATGAACATGGCATTTAAAATCTGTAATTTCAAACATGAACCACAATACCGTATGATCTAAAGGCTGCTGAACCACAGCGTGGATACACTTAGCAGAGCTCCTCGCTGGGTCAAAGCCCCCATCTCTGAGTCTAAAGCTACACACTACGGAGCACACAGCTCTGCCTCGTGCTGACACCAGACCAACACGGTGGGAGCTGAGGCAGACAGCTATAGCATAGACCACGGCACCTGCGACCGTCTCTACGCGAGGAATTAAGGAAGCAAATATAATATCAAAAGTGCACAGGTTGATCGGATAAAAAAAGAACATGTGTAACAAGGAGCCCGCGTGGTGGGTGTTTCCAGCAGGCTCCTGGCAAGCCTGGCAGCCGGGGAAGAAGGGTCTTCGGCCTGTACAGAGGCCTTTCCACGCAGCAGCTCGCGGCATGCTCAACATTAAAGCTTTTTTTCCTCCCATTAAAAACTTGGGGAATGCTATTTTGAAAAGAATTGCAGTGGCATATCCAAAAAGTTTCTAAGTGGGCTTTTAGGTTGCCCTTCCTTCCTCCTTGTGGGTCACGAGAGGGAAGGGGAGGGGGCTGCAGTGTGACAGGGCCGGGTGGCCAAGTCCTCCTGGCAGCTACTCTACAGCTGAAAACAGGAGAAAAGAGAGCATTAGAAAGCGGTCATCTGTCGCTTCCTGTTCATCTGACAACCGAAGCTCTCCACGTGCTGGGAGGGCACGAGCACGTTAGTTGGCAGAAGAGAAGACCTGCATGTGTTAGGAGGGGCCCAGTGGCTTGAGTGTCCGCAAAGCCCCTTAGGAGTATGGAGAGAAGCTGTATGCCAGGCTCGCAAGGAGAGGGCAAAGCGCGTGCAGGGTGGGCATGCTGGCAGCCATCCCACTGCCAGTCCTGCTGGGGAAGGGGGATCTGGGCCCAGGATGAACACGCAGGGGACATACATGGACCTGTCCTGGAGTCTGGAGGGGACCAAGACATAATCGGCACCAAAGGGAAGACCACACAAGGCAGACAGCTGTGGGAGGGGGCAACATGGTCTCTCACCAGGTAACTCAAATGCCCCTTCCGCATGAGACAAGGCAAGCAGCCAGCAGGAGAGAAGACTGCAGCCTCAGGTCCAGCTGGGCCCACAGGGTGATCAGGAGAAAAATACTGAGAAAAGTTCTGCTTCACAATGTGGAAAGGCAGGCAGCCTGATGCCAAAGCTCTGGCGTGGATGGAACCTCTGGAAATGGGAGAGCCCTATGGCTACTTTTCCTCTTTCTCTGTTGCCATCCCCCAAATTGCACTAAATAAAGACACCTACAATCTCCTACCTGCGAATCCTGACAACTGGCCTTGGCCCCATGCAAAGCTTTCCCAGCACAGGGCCGGGCTCTGGCTACTACTCTGGGTGTCCAATCCAGCCAAGTCCCCAGTGGTTCAGACTTCAGGTTAGGGTTTTCAAAGCCCCACGTCTTTGAGACTGAACCCTCTAAGGAAGGCCTGACAACTGGCTGCAGTGGTCTCCCCAAATACAAAAGGACGGGCTCTGCACTGAGGACCAAGATCTGGCCAGGCACTTGGAAAGCTTTTCTCATGAAAAAAGAACACCTGGGGCCTTGGGCCCTGCTAATCTGTCACCTCACAGGCCACTAGACAAGCATGCTGATCTCAGAAATGACAAACCGAGCTCTGGATTCCTGGGTTATGGTCAACTGTGTCTGTGCCATGTGAGTCTGGCCAGCAGAATACAGGGGCTCAGGGCTGCTCTTCTCGGGGCTTGGGGAAGAAATTCTGCACTTCCGTCCTGAATATGATTTGCAGTGAGGTACCGCATAAATTACAATGTAATTCTTTCCATGAAACTATGCCAAGTGCAGAGCCATCCTCTGAGGTCGTACCTATGATTCAGGCTAGAACCTCCTAAAACTGCTTTCTAGTGCTGACGTTAGACACATGCGAGGAACATGCAAGTTTCAACTCAGGTTCTGCCCCTTTCGAGTGCCGAGGGAGCAGGACTAGGATTCCTTCCCTTGGGTTTCCCCAAGCGTGCCCAGGGCTTAGAAGATGCTTTCATCACATGTCTGCTCCAAAAATGTGTAGCTCCATCCCCACTTGTGACCCCCACCTAGGAGAGCAGCCGAGGACTGGCTGCTCCTGAGGGGGTTTCAAGGAGTGAGAAGCAACACAAAGCTCTCACAAGTGTCCTGCTGATGCACATGCCCCATGGCGTCTAGGCTAGAATCCTGCCCTCTGTGCATTAGTCACGTTAAGATTGACCTAGCGCCGCTGTCCCACTGCTGCTGGGTTAGTTGAGGTGAAGCAGATGTTAGCTGCAGCGTGCGGCGCCCCACAGCCCCTAATCACAGTAAATGCTGTGCTTCTCGCTGCAGAACACCTGGTTGGCCAGCCCAGTGCCCTCGGCCCTGTCGCTGGCACAGGCGCAGGTGTGACTTACGCTCGGGGTGGCTGGCTTGGCCTTCGGAGCAGCTTTGGCACGGCCACGCCGGGTCTGCTCATGGTCCAGCTCGAGCAGCTCCAACCGCTGGGTCAGCGCCAGCTTCTGCTGGATGGCCATGCGCAGCAGCGAGTTCAGCGTCTTCTTCTCATCCTCGGCGGCCGCCAGCTGCCGCTGCATCTCATCCAGCTGTGTGATATACTCGTCACACCTGTGGGTACCGAAAGCATGACTGAGGGGCAGGCAGAGCCTGAACAAGGGAGGGCTGCGCAGCCCTCTGAAAGCCCTGCATCAGAGCCATCCCTCAGTGTGGCCTCTGGGCTGGGGGAGAATCATTCTGGCTTCTTTTAGCACAGGCTTTGCTCGGACAAGTCCCTGGTAAGAGTGAAAGAGAGGCTTGGGCCCCGGCAGGGCAGCCCTATGACATTGGTTTGAGTTTTACGGTTCTGGGGAGGAGGGGCTGCTTTGCTCATTCAGCTGCACGCAGCTCTTACAAAGAGCCTATGCCCCTTAGTAACTGGGCTTCTTCCAGGAGGAGGGGCTCTCCCCACTTCAAGGCCTTGAGGTGGCCTGGGGCATCAAGACATGGAGAAGCCATGGCTTCTAGGGTGTGGATGTAAACCTAAGCAGGACTGGGCTTGTTCCCAAGGTTGATGTTTTGTCATTCTGTGCTGAGCACTGAGTGGAGCCAAGGAACCACGTGTGTGGACACATCAACAGCCTCATCCCAAAACCCAGGTGCAGAGCTGTGGGAGGGTGTGGTCTGTCCCTGGACACCCTTCTTCCACATGTCCCATATGGGTGGGGCTTGGTAGGGACACAGAGACACAGGGCAGGTTAAGCCTGGGGGGTCCCAGGGCAGTGGAGCTATTCAGGTACTGAGTGCAACCCCACCCTGCCCACATGTGCCCCACTCTGCCTGTCCCCACCCGCCAGGAGCTGGCCCTTGGATAGCACCCTCTCCAAGGACTCTGCTGCCCACTATTTTGAGGACACACATTGAGCTGTGATCCTTGCAGTTTCAAAATCTTGGCTCCATCTGAAAAGTTAAGTTTTACAATAAAACAAATTTTAAAAGATAGAGTTTACATGCCAGATGCTGAGAAACTGTGGAATTTCTTCCCAAGCCCAGGGAAGACAGGACGCTTCCAGAGAAACCCTGGAACTCTTCTTTTCTGTACCCTGCCCTGGCAGGACCTACAGGGATGCTGAGAAACTGGGAGTGCCTGGCACCAGGCTTGAGTGAAGCAGCACCTCTGTGCAGTTCCCACCCTGTCCAGCTCAGAGCCTCAGCTTGCTCACCCATAAAAAGGAAACATCTAGGTTATCTGCTGGGCCCATGGTGGGTCTGGCTGTCTGTCCCCCACGCAGGGCTAGCACCATGGTGCCATCCCAACATGACCCAGCAGGTGGCGCTACCCATCTTTAGAAGGTGAAAGACAGGTATAGGGCACCTGGGAAGATGCTGGAACCAGAACCTGCACCACAGAGGCCCCTAAACACCTAGGGAGGCACGATTCCCAGCCTTGGGGTCTGACTCCCAGCCAGGGAGGGGTGTACACCCACCCCCTGAGGTGGCCTGCGGCATGAAGACATGGAGAGGCCATGGTTTCCAGGGTGTGGATGTAAACCTAAGCAGGACTGGGCTTGTTCCCAAGGTCGATGGTTTGTCAGTCTGTGCTGAGCACTGAGTGGAGCCAAGGAACCACGTGTGTGGACACATCAACAGCCTCATCCCAAAACCAGTGGGCAGAGCTGTAGGAGGTCCTGGGGCAGGTCCTGGTTCCAGCATCTTCCCAGGTGCCCCCTGACAAGGTCCTCTTTCACCTTCCAAAGATAGCACCACCTGCTGGATCATGCTGGGATGGCTCTGTGACAGTAACCCCAGAGCCCATTACTAAGAGCCCCCAACAGAGGACGAAAGAAAGCTGGCCTCCTCCCAGCCCCAAGGCCCTCTCCCCACCCTCCCCGAATTGGCAGGGGGGAGGATGGGAGGTGAGTACCCAGTGGACACAATGACAGAGGCACAGGTCTGTGCAGAGGTGGGACCCCAACAGTGGACCCCAGCAGTGACCTGCTCCAGCCAGGAGGCTAACTGGACTTCTAGGAGGGGCTCTCCCCACTTCAAGGCCTTGAGGTGGCCTGGGGCATCAAGACATGGAGAAGCCACGGCTTCTAGGGTGTGGATGTAAACCTAAGCAGGACTGGGCTTATTCCCAAGGTCAATGCTTTGTCAGTCTGTGCTGAGCGCTGAGCGGAGCCAAGAAACCATGTGTGCTGACTCTACAAACCTTAACACACACCTGTGACTTATGGCTAAGTTTTTGGGAGCAAACACCTCATAACAGAAAAGGCCAGGACTCCTCTGTCACCTGGTGGCCTCAAGTAAGTCCCTGTAAATGTTGGATCTAAGGGGTGGAGGCCCAAGCACCCCTAGCAGCCCCTGAAGCTCTGCCACTCTGGCCCATCTACTCTAGGATCTGCTCTCCTCAGCCCTTCTGCCCTCAGTCTCCATATACACAGAGCAGAGACAAGCCTGGGCCTGCTGGGGTTTCATTCACAGCAAAATGGAACCGGCCCCAAAGAACCAGACTCCTGGGGGCTGGGCTGGGTGCGACAGGAACAGAAAAAGGATCATACACGCTCTGCTATCCCCGGCCACATATGGGCACCTGCCAGGCATGCTCCACGCTCCAGTACCTGTTTGTGTAACCTTGGGGAAAGCTGACGGGCAGCAGCTGGAGGCCCCCAACCCTATGTGGCCCCCATATCGTCTCACTTGTCACCAAGTTGAGCACCAGTGTGCCAGAGATGTGCTAAGTGGCCACGCTTCCCCAGTCTTGTACCATGCTGGCTCCAATGGAGCTGGGCGCAGCCACTGAGTAGGGAAGGCTGCAGGCCTCAGCGTGAGGCAGTGGGAGGCTGAGGGTACCAGGGGCAAGCATGGAGGACAGCTGGCCTTGTGGAAGGGGAAGGCCCAACAGCAGCATGGTTACCTGGTGGCAAACATGGCGCGCAGCGAGGAGAAGGTGGCCGCGTCCTCCTTGAGGGCCTTGAGCTCGTTGCGCAGCTTCATCATGGTCTCGGTAACCATGGCCTTCTCATTTTCATACTTGCTCTTCAGGTTGGCAAGGGCCACCTCGGCCGTCTGAGGGACAGACATGTAGGACAGGCAAGTGAAAGGCGTGAATTCAGCCTAGAGGTGCTCTGGGCGCAGGATGGGGAGACCTGGTCTGAAGTGGTGGTGGTGCCTGGGAAGAAAGTTCCTGGGAGGCCCCTCCCTCTGACAAACCCTGGAGACGGACTCCAGCAGCTGTGCCATGGGGAGTCCTACCCACTCATTCTGACTGGCAGAGGACGGACTGCCCCCCAAACCTGCCCAAGGGACCCCTACAAAGCCCCACAATCACTCTCCGAATGTAGCTCTCACACGTTTTCCCTCTAACATCAGGAAGCACGATGAGGCAGTCACAGTGAGTGAATGGCAGCAGCATTTCTCACTGGCTGAGCGGCTTTGCCGAGGAGCCCTTGCTCCCACTGCTCGCTCCACCCTCCCAGGTGAGGGACCTGAGCAGGGGAGGGCCGGTGGCTGAGCTGATAATAGAGCTGGCTCTGCCTGATGGTGACACAAGCCTGGGGGGGCCCCGTGTAGGGGGAGGAAGGAGGCCAAGGGGAAACACCCTTAGGCCAGCAGTGGGTGACAGGTGCCCCTGCCACCTGGCGCCTTACCTGCTTGTTGGCTTTGAGCACGGTGCGCAGTGTGGTGATCTGCTCCCGCTTAGTGCTGAGCAGTGACTTCAGCTTGAGGATCTCCTCCATGAGTGCCTCCTTGTCTTTGTCCACGGCGGGGCCCAGCTCTTGCGAGGCAATGCGCTGGCGTGACAGCTCCGTGGTGCGGTCCACGGCTGCCTGTAGATGCTTGATCTGGTCACGGATGATAGCGATCAGGTTGTAGATATTCATAGGCTCCCGACGTGGGTCACTCAGGGGTGATGGCAGTGAGGAGCCAGGTGAGGGGCTGCTGTCCCCGGTCCCGCTGTCTGCTCGGCCAGTCTCAGGAGCCAGCAGCCCCTTGGGTAAGAGGATGGGTGAGCGGCGGCCACGCCCTTCAGGACTAGTGCGGCCCCCAGGGCTGGTGCCGGCCCCGCCCTGGCCCTCGCGGTAGTAGTCCAGCATGACACGGTTGGGCGTCTCATTGTTGCACATGCACACATGGTGGTAGAGATTGGCCAGCTCCTCACTAAAGGTCACCAGCTCATCCTGGGCCACACTCAGGCTGCCCTGCGTCTCACCGGCAACGTCGCTCACCTTCTTCAGCTCCTTCTCCAGCCGGGCCAGCAGCTCACGGTCCTGGTGGCTGGCCTTCTCTAGCAGGGAGACCTTCTCCGTGAGCGCCTGGCCCTCAGCCTCGTAGCGGCCCTTCTCCTCAGCATGCTGGGCCTCACGAGCCTCATGTGTGCTGCGCAGTGCCTTGAGCTGCTCGCGGAGCTCGCCAGCCTCAGCCACAGCCACATGGTACTTGCAGGCCAGGATCTCGGGCCCATTGATGTCCACCTCGTAGTAGTCGCCGTCCTCATGACTATCACGGTCCTTCTCATTGTCCAGGGCCGTCTGCCGCTCCTTGCCAGCCTGCAGGCGCCGCAGGGCACTCAGATTCTCTGTGAGGCGGGTCACCTTCTCCTGCTGCTCTGACAGGGATCCCCGCGTGTGCTCCAACTGTTTCTGCGTGTCCTGCAGCGTCGCCAGCAGGCCCGCCTTTTCCCGCTCCATCTGCAAAGGCACAGGCAGCATGACACAATGTCAGTGGCTGTGGACCCCGAGAGCTTAGAGGACCCCCCAGGATAGCCCAGTGACATCCCACCCCATGTCAGGGCAGGCTATGAGCCCCAGGTTCCTTGGCCATGCTGTCAGTGAGGTGGACAGAGACACACAGGGTGAAGAAAGGATGGTATTCACACTGGGCTCGCAGAACACTGCCCACCAGTAATGGTGGTCACCCTCAATGCAGGCTCTTTCCCCACCAGTGCTGCAGGTGAGTCAGGCTCAGAAAGTGGAGCTCGCGGCTGGCTGGGTGGGTAGCAGGGAATATTAGTGCCCTCGCCCTCTGCTTCGGAAGACAGGACTCGGCTGCCTTGGATAAACAGGGATCCATGTCCCAGGAGATGAGCCCATGCATGACCCTGGCGGGCCTCTCTGACTCCTGGCATGGGTACGGGGATCACATGTGGGGCCAGTGTCTCATCACTTCACCCTGGTACCACATAGGTAACAGGGAAACAACGTGGATGCCGCGGTGCCAGGAAACCACTTCTCTGGGACTCCACGTGTGCTCCTCGAGTTCCATTTACAGTAATGATGCAGGAGTGAAAATCAGCGTAAGGAAAAGAGAAAGCTAACATCAGCAGAGTGTCAGGTAAGCACTGCTCAGGGAGCCCTACAGAGCTAGAGTGGGGACAGCATGCCAAAAGCCCCACTGCCTGCTCACCTGCATCAGCTGCTGCTTCAGCTTCTGGATCTCGGAGATGTTGAGCTCGCTGAGCAGGTCGGAGACGAGGCTGGGGGAGGGCGGTGCCAGGCCCTCCTTCTTGGGTGTGGAGGTCTTGTTGTCCAGGGGCAGTTTGGCCAGGCTGCCGTGCTCAAAGCCGTTGACCAGGGCCTCGGCATCATTGTTGGGCTCAGCAGCGTCGTCACTGAACTTGAGGCCGTCCAGCGAGACATGCAGGTGGCTGGTGTAGAAGGAGTCATTGATGCTCATGTAGTGTGACAGCTCCTTGCGCAGACTGTTCTTCTGCTCGCGCTCCGTCTTCAGCGTCTCCAGCGCCTCCTCCAGCTGCCGCTCCGAGATCTCCTTGAGGCGGATGGCATCCTCCAGCTGGCTGTTGAGGTACTCAGTCTCCTCCTCCAGACGCTTGATCTCATGCTTGAGGCCCTCAAACTCCACCTGGGAAGAAAAGTCAACACTCTTATGTCAAGGCAACATGGAAGCTCCTTTTAGGCCCCACAAATGAAGAAAACACAACCAGCAAACCAACTCCTGCCACCATGACACAAGGTGAAGCACCAGGTGAAGTGCCATCCTGGGAAGGGAGGCAGCCTGTCCAGGCCAAGGCCACTTGCTCTGCTCAGAGATGTGGATACTAAGAGGGTTTTGCAGCATTAGATGCAAATGCACAGAAACGCTCAGCCTAGCCCACCTACCACTGGGACCAGCAGACATGGGGAAGGGAACACAAATGTTGGAGGTGGCCCCAAGCCTGGACTATACGTGTGGAGATGCACCAACAACACACCTCCACCCATAGAAAGCTGCCAACCTTCTATTAGGTCATTCACAAATATTACCATGTGCATGCTGATTTAAAATTCTATAAAGTTACTTAATTAACATTAACAGTTAACCAAATATCTTAAGATACATAAAAAATACATTTCAATGTGTCCAATGATCATGACTTTTAGCCATATTTCAAAATGAAGGAACAGAAACTTCCCCAAAGGCAGAACATCTCAGCCGCTAAACCTACACACGCACATGGCACCCAGACCCGGAGGAGCTCGAAGGTAGATGGGAAAAGCTACATCAAAGTCTTGTCTGCATGAAATTGTATTCACAGGCAGAAAAGGAAAACACAGATGGCAACTGATAACTGATGTGGAGGCTCAGAGTTTGTGGGCAATTTAAAAAACTATTTCTTATTTTTCTGTAATATTTGGCCAAAAAGTAAGAAACAAACCAGTAACAGGAAGTTGTGAGCACATCTCTGTGGGTCTTGGGTCAGAAGGGACACCCATTACCACATCCAAGGTGTGCTCACAGAAGGAAGGCATGCACCCTCCAATCTCAGCACCATGGGGAGGTAAGGAATCCCAGAGAGGAAGGGAGTCAGACTCCACTGAGTACCAACCCTGAGGACAGGGTCACCTCAAGCCTCAGTTTCCCTTTTCCTAAGGCTACTGTGTGCTGGGCTCTGCGGTTAGCAGCACCAATGACCAAATGGTGCTTACGATGTAAACAATGGCTAAGACTGTTAATGTGCACAAGCTGTCACAGAGGGACCAGTCTGGGAGCTCTGCATAAACACATGAGCTTCCTCCTCTGGGCATAAATACCACGTTCCCTTGACAGTGAGACACAGAGGATTTTGGTGGTAGAGGATTTGAGGAAAGAAAGGAAAATATCCATGGCATTTTGGGGGAAGGTTTGGGGTTTCCTGAGAGAAAAGATTTCCATTCCCCACCATGCAGGAGTGTGGTTCTTGGAGAGAGAGGTAGGTTCAGGCCCTGAGTGGCAGCAGAGTCCACGATAATTTAGTCACACCACAGAGAGAAGGGACCCTCCACATTTATCTCTGGCACAGGCAGACCCTGCTCTTCCCTGTCAGGGAGGGGTCCCCCTGAGACCCCATCAGAGACAGATGGTTTCCTGTTCATCCCTGTCACAGACAGAGAGGACCTTCCTCATCCCCATCACAGGCAGAGGCATAGGGATATTGTAGGCCTCATGGTCAGCACTTTATGGGGGAAAGAGTCTGAACGTCTAGTTTGGGGTTTTCTGATATAACCTCTTCACCACCTCTCAGATTTTTGTTTTCATTTTGTTGGCTGGGACACCTCAGCTTGGCCAATGTCAGCAAACAGTGTAGCCAGAGTTTCATCTTTTGGAGGGTCTGGGCCCCTTTGAGTGTTATCCCCTGCCTCCACAGTAGTAAAGCTGGCCCTGGGCCTCGGGTGTGTGGAATGAGACAGGAACTCCTTCTGAACAGGGAGAGGGGCTGAGCAAGAGGGCCTTAAGGCCCAGTTAACCCACGTGTCACCCCCACCCCATAGACCCAAGACTTGCCTGGTTCTGTCTGAGCACAGAAACTTGCTTCTGCAGGCTGATGTTCTCCTCCTCCAGCTCCGAGTAGTCCTGCAGCAGGCGAGCTTCCCGGAATTTGTACTCCTTGATGTCATCCCGCAGGCGGCCACGCTGGATCTCCACATTCTGGTTGATCTGCAGGGGGAAAGGGAAAGGCAGGTGTGAGCAGCCTCCACAGGGCACGAGGAGGACTCAGTGCAGCCAGGCATGGCCCAGCCACAGAGCCAGAACTCAAGAGCCCAGGCCTGCAGGTGCCAGTGTGGCTGCCTGGAGAGGAGAAGGAGCCCAGAGCAGTGTGCCCGAGTGCACGGCAAACTGCAGAGGTTTCAGAGTAAAATCCCCTCAGCTCTTCTCAGCTTGGAACCCCTGACAAGTGACTCTGCGTGCTCCAAACCTTGGTTTCTTCATCTTCAAATTAAAAGTTCCTGCCTTCTATTAGTGGACATTTAAACAGTAGTGGGCAGGTGGGCATGTGAATGGTATAGTGCTGTGGCAAACAGCCTGCAGATGCTGAAACTGTTAAACACAATGTCTACCCCAGAGAAATGTACACATGCCTACACAGAAACCAGTCCACGGATGTTCACAGCAGCAGCGCTCACAAAAGCCAGAAGGTGGAAGCAGCTGAGTGTCCATCGACTGAGGAATAAATAAACAAAATGTGGTCTCTCCACACAATGGAATGCTGTACAGCCACAATAAGTAAGGATGTACTGACACATGCTACAACATGAGTGACCCATGAAAACATTCTCCTGAGTCAAAGAAGGTCTGTCACGGGAGGCCATGCATTGTATGACTCCATTTCCATGAAATGTCCAGAGCAGGTAAATTCACAGAGACAGAAAGTAGGTTAGTGGCTGTTAGGAGCTGGAGCGGAGATGGGGAGTGATTGAAATGGGTTTTCTTTTTGGAGCGATGAACTGTTCTAAAATTGTGGACTGGTGCACATATATGTGATGATAATAAACACTGAGTTGTATACCTTATGTGGGTGAACTGTATGACATGTGAATTATCTCAATAAAGCTGTTAAATATTAGTTCGGGCTCTAAGTTGCCCATAAGGAGCCAAGCGGTGTCATGGGAGAGGCCAGTGCAGGGCTGGGGAGAAGAGGATGCAATCAAGACAGAATTCCTAACTTGCTGCCATGTGCCAGGGACCTGGGCCCCTCAGCCGCAGGTTCCCTAGCAACATTCAGGGATGTTTCTTCTTTGTGGTGGGAGCCGGCCTGTATATCATACAATGTTTAGCAGCTCCCTGACCTCTGGCGATCAGACACAGCCGCTTTCTCCATTGTGACAACTACAAAATCTCTCCAGACACTGCCAATATGACCCTGTGGCAAAATCATCCCCTTGACAAACTCACTATCCCCCCACCCCACGCACTGTACTCTGCTACCCCAGCTGCCCCACTGAGTATATGCAAAGGCCTGGCTCCCCTATCTGCAAAGGCCTGGCTCCCCAGGCCACCACCACCCCTGCACCAAAGCCCCCTTGGACTCTTGGCCAGAAGCCCTGTCCATTTTGTGGGCCCCATAGCTTTGTCCACCTCTCACACTATCCTAGTGGCTTATGCTAGGGTTTCTCCTGGTCATATTTGTGTGCTCACCTGAATGGAACATGCTTTATAGATAAGATCACAAGATCCCATGCAAGTACACACAAAACAGCCATACTGGGTTAGAAAAATAAAACAGGACATCTCTCCCAAAACAAAGGAAGAAAGGAAGGCAACAGAGATGGGAAGAGAGTCAATGATATACAGCAAGTACTACTGACAAATGCTTATTATTTACAATGAAGATTACATTTAAAACCTACAGCAAATGGACACAGACATATAACCCTTTCATTATAAGTGACTCAAGGAACTGACAGAAAGCTGACACCAAAAGAAACAGAGATAACATACAGGGAGGAAGAGAAGGCCTGGTAAAGCCCCGTACCAAAGGAGAAAGCAAGTGAGGTGCATGCTGGGATACGGGGGGAGAAAGCAGCGTCAGCACAGCCACCACCAGGGCCAGGTCCCACAGTGGCTACATGGGGAGTGGATGGGGAGTGGGGAGGCTCTCCAGCCTCTCTCCTGCTAGTGAGAGTGCAGCACGCCCAAGCATGCTTAGGGGAGCTGCACAAGCCAAGTCACACCCAGGCTCTCTACACGCCAGCTGGGGACCTGGGCACTGCTCTGCCAGAAAGGTTTACCCCTGCTCTTTTCTTACTAACTCACAAGCATGTGGCCTGCAGCAGGGGTGCAAACACATGCCACCTGACTCAACGTAGCCACGCAGCCAGCTCCTCAGGCGGAGTGGAAGCTGAGGAGAAGGTCTGAGTCCCACCAACTCTTCCTAGGCCTGCCAGTCAAAATTAACAAACCTAGAAGGCACTCCAGGCAGCGGAACAGAAGTGCCAGAAGCTTCCATGTGCCCAGGCAGAGAGATAGTGACATGCCCAACTGAAGACTAAAGCAGAGGGCTTGGCTAGATGCCTCATAGCACTAGAGTCCCCCAGAGGCACATATGAGACTTCTGTTCCTTCAGTAGTGCCCATCTGATTCCTCAGGGCCCTTCACCAGCCTGGCTCAGGCAAGATGTACTAGGAGTTCTGTCCTTGCACCACTGCCAAACAGAACACAGAGGCACACCTAGGACAAATGCTGGCCTGGCCATACCATATTGTGGGTGACGATGGCACTGTCTCTGCTGACGCTGCAGGACAAACACTGTGCTTCCATGCCCACACCACTGGGCATAGGCAGCCGGGCTCATCTGGCCTTCCGCCTAGCACCTCCATCCTATACACGCCCAATTGCCAGGGCTCAAACAGGCTGACTGGTCGCCATGGGGTTAAGTTTTCCCTCAAGTAAGCACCTTCTCCCAGTCAGCCTGTCTGATGTCAGCCCAACGGAATACAGGGAACAAGCTCTGCTGTGTGGCCAGGCAGCCCAGATGAAGGAGGTGGGAGCACAGGCCCATAGCTGACCACTAGAATCCCATCTCAGCTCCCCTTCTGTGGGATATCCACACCTCAGATTGCTCATCAGCAACCAGGGTGTGACAACTGCCTGCCTCAAGGAGCCACTGTGTGAGGGGTCAGCTGCCGTCTCTCCTGTTTCCATCAGACAACCCCAACCCCAGGACACCCGCAACTGCCTTGACTGCCTAGGGCAACCCCTTCACTCTACTCCTTCTTGGGGCAAACATGGACAGACCTTGGTGTGTGCATGAGACCTAGCTCTGACTCCAGCCCTCCTGTGACTCTCTGGGCCTCTGATTCCCCCTCTGGGAAATGGAGCCACATCCCCACCAAAGCCCCATCCAGGCCAGTCCTCAGAAGCTCATCTACCTGCCAGGGGCCCCGACAGGAAAGACACTCTCTTTTTTTTTTTTTTGAGACGGAGTTTCACTCTTGTTACCCAGGCTGGAGTGCAATGGCGCAATCTTGGCTCACCGCAACCTCCGCCTCCTGGGTTCAGGCAATCCTCCTGCCTCAGCCTCCTGAGTAGCTGGGATTACAGGCACGCACCACCATGCCCAGCTAATTTTTTGTATTTTTAGTAGAGACAGGGTTTCACCATGTTGACCAGGATGGTCTTGATCTCTCGACCTCGTGATCCACCTGCCTCAGCCTCCCAAAGTGCTGGGATTACAGGCTTGAGACACCGCGCCCGGCCAGGAAAGACACTCTCACTAGTAGGAGAGAAGCTGGAGAACTTGCCCACGTGTAGGGCCCACACATACGCAGAAGTTAAAGTCAGGATCTGAGAAGCACCTCAACCCCTCCTAGCCAGGATACCTTAGGTACATGACGGAACCTTGCAAACCTCTATTTCTTCACATCCGACAAGGTACGAGGCAGTCAGAACTGTCCAACATATGGCAAGTATGTTTGTTACTGTAAAGCTTCACAGGTCCTCACAGTGCGCTGGGGTGCAGAGGGGGACAGACGCCTTAACCGGTTGTCACAGGGAAGGAAAATCGGGAAGGGACTGTTGAGGGTAGCAGGGTGGTGGGTCAAAGGATACAATGAAGCCTGTGGTATTGGCAAACATACCCTTTCTGACCCATGGGGTGTGAACCTTGGGCAGTGATTGGAAACAGCCATGCTGGGGGCCATAGTGGAGTTGGCACAGTGGCTCAGACCAGCAGAACAGCAAGCAGCAGGAGACAAGAGCTGTGAATGGCTGGGACTATTGGTGGTGAGACAAGGTCAGTCTAGAGATGCTCCGCCTCAACGACGTACCCAAGGCAAAGACCTGGGATGGTTCCTATGGCTCTGCAGCAACCTAGGGCAGGGACACAGGCATGAGGGACACAGGAGGCCCAGGGACCAAGGTGGGGACCCTCAGGAGAGAGAGGGAAGGCTGAGGGGTGTGCAGGGAGTGTCAGGATTTCCTCCTGAAACACAAACAGGAACCGCAGAACTCTCTCTTCCCCTGCAAGACCTGCAGCATCTTTAACTTGCTGTGCTCATTTCCAGCCACCAGCCCTACCTGGAGCCAGCAGGGTCACCCAGCCCTCTTTGGCCTCTGCCACCAGAGATAAGCTGCTTGGAAGAGAGAAGGGGCAGAATGTGCTGGGCTGGGGAGACAGCACCTGTATATGCTTTTCAGGAACAGAGGGGCCAGAAAGATGGTAGCTGGGGCAGCCAAGGATACATCTCTCCATTCACACAGGCCCTCCTCCCACCGACCAGAGTGCTCCTTGTGGGAGGAAATGAAATCATGTACTGCTGTTCCGGGATCTGAGGATTCCCACCCTGAGTCCAAGCCAAGCTCCTCCCCGGGCTGCCAGGACCTCAGCAATCTCTGACCCCTCATTCCCACTGCTGCGGGCCCTGAGAGCAGCATCCTTCAGTACTGGCAAGCTGAGCCAACAGCAGCAGCCCTGATCGCCACATACTCTCAGGGCCTATGCCCTGCTGACCTCCCCGTAGGATTATCTGCTGCAGAGGGTGGGGTGCCCGTGGCCGTAATGAGGGCCCACAAATGCTCCGACAATGTGGGGTGAAGGAGCTATGGAACATCCTCCACAAGAGGCTTCAGAGACTGCTGGTTTACAGATGGGGAAACTGAGGCCAGGACTAAAGATACGGCTTTGCCCAGGCCCCAAGGCTCAGTGAAAGCTAAAGCCAGCATCAGCCTATTCCCAACCAACCCATGCTCCACTCCTCCAGCCATTCCGAATGAGAACCTGGGGCAGACCCTCGAGGCCATGGCCAGGAGGACCACAGCTCACCAGCTGACTTCCAGTTCCACCTGCAGTCCCCAGGGACCATCCTACCTCTGTCTTGGTGATGGGGCCTCATCCTTCCTCAGAGGGCACTGGCCTCTCTTGTCCCCATGACAGGCATCTCAGCCCCACTTCTGCCCCTACAGCCCACCACACACAGGCACGGGGTATGGTTCTCCCCGACATCTGCCACATGCCTTTTAGGAAACGGGAGACTTTGCTCACGCTGTGTCCTCAAGTTCCACACACACTGAGGCCCGGCAGAGCTCAATTAAAACATGTGCCAGTCAGAGAGGAAAGACACTCAGGTGCTTGTTCAGCCTCCCCTGAGCTCCTGTTCAAGCCAGCAAGGCTCTCCTCCCACCCGCCCCAGTGGATGGAAACTCCCAGGTTTCCTCCATCTCCTGTTGCTGCTGCTGCTGGGCTCAAACTTCACAGGCTCCACCAAAGCCACCTTCCCAAATCCTGCTTTGGCCACATCCTTTCCCTGGGCTCCCCAATCCTTCATGACTCCAGGGCCTGAGCATGTGGGTCCTGTGGCCTTCAGTCCCTTTCAGGGAACAGGAGCCAAGGTGGTTCCTCTGGCTTCATGCTCACAAGCTCATGGGTGGACACCACAGTCCCATTTCCACATGCAGAGCCTGTGCATTATCATGGCATGGTGGCCATGGTTACCTAGGACTCCAACAGGCTTTAGTGCCAGGGACCACCCACCCAGACCCTCCCCGTGGGCACTCGTCTGTGCATAAGGGAGGGGTGTGGCAGCTAGGGCTACTGGCAGTGGTCTCCACCCCTAATTCTCAGACACACACATCCCACCTCAAGTCCCCAAGGACTATTCGGGGTTTGTGTTCTTATTCACAGCTGGGCACAGTGCGGGCCCTGAGTGACACAAAACATTTCCAGGGCAGGGAAGAGTCCAGTGATGAGGAATGCCCCATGGGCCTCAGCCCTTAGTCCCTAGAAGGGGCTAACTGCACCCCTCCCTAACTGACCACCTCTCTGCTCTGGACTTGCTCACAGGACTTGCTTCATTAGTGAGATGGAAGCAAGCCAGATGCAGTGTGAGTGGTGAAGGATGAGACCAGGAAAGCAAAACACCAGCTGGCTGCAGCTTCCCCAAAGGCCAGCCCAGCCCAGCCACCCGCCAGGTACACGTGCTATGTGACACTAGTGGCACTGTTGCAGCCACAAACTTGGCCCCTCCTCACCCCCTCACCTCCTTCAGCTCCTGGGCCACCGAGGCCAGGCGCTCATTCTCCGACTGTGTGTTGGTGAGGACATTGCGCAACTGTTTCAGCTCCGTCTGCAGCTCTAGCACCTTCCGCACGTAGTACTGCTCCTTGGAGGCTGACTCTTGGATCAGGCTCTCCTCCCGGCTCTCTCCATCAGCAGCCACCTTCTTGTGGTTCGTGTGTGCCTGTCCAAAGGCCTGCATCAGGAGACAAGACACTCGTGAGGTGGGCCTCCCAGGGGCGCTGAATGATAGAGACCCAGCTCACAGGTGACATTCATGCTGCAGAACAAAAGCAACAACAGGGAGTTTGGGCCCGAAGGGAGGCCCCCTGACCTGGGAGATGCGTCTGTGGTGTGCACTGTGGTGTGCACATATGCAAACGCATCAAGCTGCACCCACGGTTCATCTGCTTCACCAAAATAAGAGCAGGCCTGGTCTCTGAGGAGCAATGTGCGCACTGGTGAGACAAGTGCTGGAGTCAGGGAGCCAGCGTGGGAACGTGTGACAGCAACTGAGGACCAGTGGAGGGAGCTCCCACACAGCCCCCACCTCCTCCCCACTCCAGATGGCGCACTGGCCACCACATACAAAAGGCAGAGGGAGTCTAACCATCCTGCTGCCTGACGCTGGCTCATCTCTCACTCCTGGGAGAGATCTGGGCTAGGTGATCAGAGCCCCAGGGCCCAAGGAGGACAGTGATGGTAAGAACTAGACAGAGAGGCCAGCACAGTGTGTGACCCACTCTGTCTGGTTCCTGGCCCAAAGATGAACATACCAGCATGTTCCAGAGGGGTGAGGAACAAAGCGGGGGCTGCATGTAACAAAAGAAGTGCAGCACCCTGGCGCTCAGGGAGAAGACCTTATGGGTGAGATCGACCAGAAAGGGGTGCTCGCCTAGCCCAGGATGCCCACCTGCCCACACACCTGAGTCGGTAGCTGTGCCAAGTCCATGCCCAAAAACCCGGCCAGCCCGGCCTCCCGTCATGTGTACCCCAGGCGAGTGGCCCAGCCTTCAAGCAGGTACCATCCCTTTCCTTCCCTCCCACTGCCCACCACCCTTGCAAAGCTGGCATGGCAGGATGGGCTTCCAGAGTAGAGGACAGAGGGCCCCCAGTGCGTTACCCCCAGCAGCCCCTTTCTCAATGGCCACTCCACCACAGAGCTCTTGGGGGAGATCTTATCTTTTTATAGCACTCCTGGCTCATGGCAGAAAACGAGATCAAGAGAGATGCGACTGAAAACGAATGACTTTTTTTTTTCCTAAGAGAGAAAAAGGAGCATTTTTCACTTTTTTATTATTTAATATTAAATCTACGAATTCTATCCAAGAAAATGGGGAAAATGTATAAAACTATGAATACGGATGTTACTGAGCAAGACAGTTTCTAATTTCAAGAAATCAAAACAAAAATTACTCATTTCCTCCTGACAGGAGACTGGCAAAAGAAACCAGAGTCTAGTTTGAGTACAGAGTCTCACGGGACCAACAGGGCAATCAAGGGGAAGACAGACTGATCTTACAGCACTGTGAGGACCACAGGATCCGGCCTGGAAGAGTGTTGTGTGTGTGTGACTCATGGTGTTGTGGGGGACATCCCTAAACAAGGCTAAAAGGACAACAAGGCCCAGCAGGGGAACTGGTGCTGGCACTGGGACTGCACGTGGGGACCGAGGACTGACATGGACACTCCTGCTGCAGATGCACAGACATCCATGGCACGCACATTCCTCAGGGGGCTGAGTCTTGCTCAACACAGACCCACTCCGTGGAATATGACAGTTTTTCTTCAAGGTGGTCAGGTCAGCTCTGTGATTTCTGTTCTGTTCTTCCTTATCCTAGTCCCAAGGAAGACCAAATCACAAATCACAATGTCTACGCAGCACCTGATCCACCCTGGCTAGCCACCCCAGGCTACAAGTAGGGAAACCAGACATGGAGCTGGCCCAACTGAGGGTCTTTGGGCCTGAGGGTCTTTGGGTGAGGGTCTTTACCTCACCCAAGTGGCAGCCAGAACCCAAGTCCCTCACTGGGTGAGAGGGGCCTGCAGGCTATAGGCAGCATGGGCAGCTCCAGACCATCTGGGCCTCCTGACATGCAGATGGGACCTGACTGAAGGGTCGTTCACACATGGCTGCTCAGAACATGCCCAGAAGCCTGGAGCTAGGGATGCAGACATTACATCAGAAGCTATCTCCAGATGTGACAGCTAAATGCCATAAGACGACATTCAGGTCCAGGCCTCCTGGCCTGAGCCCTGGATCTTTTCCTCTGCTTAAGCTCCTAGCCTGGGGCCCACAAACACTCCTGGGCAGCTTTTCAAACACACTGAGATAGAGACTTCCACCTAGAGCCAAGACAAGACAGTTGCAGAAATTAGATCTTGTATGAAAAACTTGCCGGGCGCGGTGGCTCAAGCCTATAATCCCAGCACTTTGGGAGGCCAAGGCGGGCGGATCACGAGGTCGAGAGATCGAGACCATCCTGGTCAACATGGTGAAACCCCGTCTCTACTAAAAATACAAAACATTAGCTGGGCATGGTGGTGCATGCCTGTAATCCCACCTACTCAGGAGGCTGAGGCAGGAGAATTGCTTGAACCCAGGAGGCGGAGGTTGCGGTGAGCCGAGATCGTGCCATTGCACTCCAGCCTGGGTAACAAGAGCGAAACTCCGTCTCAAAAAAAAAAAAAAAAAAAAAAGAAAAACTTAAAAAAAAAAAAAAAAACCCAGACAGTGATAGAATATGAATGGTTAATAAGCAGTGGTTTTCACATCATGGGCACTAAATAGTGAGAGACAGGATGAGGGGAGTTCCAGGAGCCCCCTCCACCAAAGGAACTTCCCAGCCACAGAAAAATGGGAGACTGAGGCAAGGTGTAGCAGACCCTGTCAAGGAGGGGCTGGAAGATGGTAGCAGGGCAGCCAAGATAGGCAGACCTGCACACAGAGGGCCAGAATCTCCACTCAGGACCAGGCAGCACAGAGCTGAGGAAACCACTGAAGGACCAATGAGAAGGGCAGAGAAAGCAATTCCCCCCATATACACCAGCCAAAAACAGGACCTGCTCCCACCAGCCAGAATAGAGCCCTCCTGATGCACAGGCGGTGGGGGAGCACTCCCAGGGCCTGGCAAAATTAGGCTGGACTAAATCTGCTCTGGTATCACAGAGCAAAGCCTGAAAGGACCAATCTGCTTCCAAGTCACTTAACTACATCCCAGAACAAGGCTCAAGAACACATGAAGGAATATGAAAACATCCATCTCCCAGCAGGTGAGGTCCACTGTCCAGCATCCCGTCACTAACCACTCAGCAGGCAAAGGCATACAAATCAGGAAGATAGAAAAACATCCAGGTAGAACTTCTAGAAATGAAAAATACAGTGGGCGGGATTAACAGCAGATAAAACAATGCAGAAGAAAGGATTAGTCATCTTAGAAAACCACAGCAAACTATCCAAAATGAAACACAGAAAAAAAGCTAAGATAAAAGCAAAACTTGAACAGAGTATTGGTGAAGTATGAGACAATTTCAAGAAGCCTCATCTAAGGAGTAATTGGAGTCCACAAAAAAGAAAAAGGGGAAAATGGAAAAAATATTTGAAGAGGCCGGGCGCGGTGGCTCAAGCCTGTAATCCCAGCACTTTGGGAGGCCGAGGCGGGTGGATCACAAGGTCAAGAGATCGAGACCATCCTGATCAACATGGTGAAACCCCGTCTCTACTAAAAATACAAAAAATTAGCTGGGCATGGTGGCACGTGCCTGTAATCCCAGCTACTCAGGAGGCTGAGGCAGGAGAATTGCCTGAACCCAGGAGGCGGAGGTTGCGGTGAGCCGAGATCGCGCCATTGCACTCCAGCCTGGGTAACAAGAGTGAAACTCCGCCTCAAAAAAAAAAAAAAAAAAAAAAAAAAAAAAAAAAAAAATATTTGAAGAAAGCATAGCTGGAAATTTTCCAAATTTGATGAAAATTACAAACCCAAAGGTATCAGCAGCTTGTCTACCCCCAGCACAAGAAATATGAAGAAAACTACACCAAGGCATAGCATAAAATTGTTTAAAACCAATGATACAACAAAAATATTAAAATCAGCCAGAAGAAAAACGAAACATGATTCAAGTAGAGCAAAAATAAAAGATGACGGCTGATTTCTCTGACAAGCCAGGAGAGAGTGGAACAACATCTAAACAAAGCAAAAAACTTAACTAGAAAGCTACACTCATTGAAAACTGTTCACAAATAGAGGTGAAATACTTCAGACATGCAAAAGCTGAAAGAATTTATCAGCAGGAGACCTATATTGGTATTTAAAGATATGTTAAATAAAATACTTCAGGTAGAAGAAAATAATACCATATGGAAATCCCTATCTATGGGGAAGAAATGCTAATTAAATGGGCAAATACAAAATACTTACTTTTCTTATTATTTAAATCTCTTTAAAAGATAACTAACTTGAGCCAGGCGTGGTGGCTCACGCCTGTAATCCCAGCACTTTGGGAGGCCGAGGCTGGTGGATCACGAGGTCGAGAGATCGAGACCATCCTAGGCAACATGGTGAAACCCCGTCTCTACTAAAAATATGAAAAATTAGCTGGGCATGGTGGCGCGTGCCTGTAATCCCAGCCACTCAGGAGGCTGAGGCAGGAGAATTGCCTGAACCCAGGAGGCAGAGGTTGCGGTGAGCCGAGACTGCGCCATTGCACTCCAGCCTGGGTAAAAAGAGTGAAACTCCGTCTCAAAAAAAAAAAAAAGATAATTAACTTGAAATTCAACGCAATCCCTATCAAAATTCCAAAATTATTTTTAGCAGAAATGGAAAAGCCAATTTGCAAATTCATACGGAATTGCAAAGGGCCTAGAAGAGCTAAAACAAGATGGAAAGAAAATAAAGTGAGAAAACTCACCATTTCAAAACTTAATACAAAGCTACGGCAATCAAAACAATGCGGTACTAGTGTAAAGATAGACACAGAGATCAATGGGATAGAATAGAGTTCAGAAATAAACCCTCATATATATGGTCAATAGATTTTTGACAGGGGTACAAAAGTAATGTTTTAGAATAATTTTTCAACAAATGATGATGAGGCAAGGAGATGGAGATATATATATATATATATATATATATATATGTGCCATATATACATACATATATATGCAAAATAATGATGCTGAACTCCTCACATTATACA